AACTAATTTGGCATGAAGAGTGGAAAACTGCTGGAAAAATGTTCCAGCAGTTCTGTAATGGGAAAATGACAAAAAAAAAAAAAAAAAAAAGGAAAGAGGAAAGAGGAGTGAATGGCTGATATCTTCAAACAGCTTGCCATGTGTATTTTCATGAGTGGATGTTCCATTACAGCAGAGCGCAACATGGCTGAAAAACCCATCAGAGATGTAAAAGGATATGGTGTGATCACTTGTTTCCACTGGTGAAAAAGGGAGGGGAGCTTGTAGCATTGTAGTCCCGCTCATAAAGAGCAGACGCGGCACGGCCCATCAGGCCTAAAATGCCTCTGCTGTATAAACACTAACATATTGCACATGTACCACCACTCAACTTGTATCAAGGCTCGAATCAGATGTGCATTTAAGTTTATCAATGTATTTATTTTTAATGAAAGACAAGCTAATCAGTGGTTGTTTATAGCTTTTGCCAAAATGTTCATTCAAATATGTATTCACAGTTGAGGATTAGAGGAGTCATTTGCATTATTAGAATAATATATGGTCACCCTTTTTAGAATCCACATCCTGAAGACTGAGAGGAAGCATCATATTTATTTATGCATGTATACATTTGTTATGTACATATTTGAATATAGTATGACCCCTTTTCGTTGTTGATTTTCTTTAGTTTTTGAATTATTTGATTTGTGGTCTTTATTAGTTATGTGTCATTATGATTTTTGTTTGTATATGTTAATAAAAAAAGTAATAAAAAGTGTTATTAACTCATTATATGAAGCATCCGTACATGGTATATAAATATATAATGAATTATTGATAATAAAACACAGCTGTAGTCATATAAAACATGAATATGAAATGATAAGTATTTATCTACGTATAAATACATTGAAATACTTTAAAATTTTTATTTATAAATATTTTCTTCTTAGTCTCCATGACAGAGCACATTCCTTTTTGTTGTTGTTGTTATGTGGCTATTTCCGATGTATAAACTTTATAGCTTCAGTCAGCAAACAGATGCAGCTTTGTGACAATTCAGCAACATGCAGATTTTGGCCTCACTGTTATTTCAGGTGCAGGTGGTGTGTAACGTGATGTCTGGACTGTGTAGTGATGTTTATGTGTGCCAAAAGCTTTCATTCTCCTCCACATGCCTCCGGTGGACAGCACACTTTGCAGCACCCTGCATCACTGAGCATGGCAGAGCTACAGGTCTGGTTTCCAGCTGGAACTTGTGAGTCTGTCACAACCTCTTGCATTTCAACTCTCATTCAGATGCAGTGTTTAGCTGTACATTGAGCAAATTGAGTGAATTTTGTATGTGCGGCATGAATGGTTCGGTTTCTTTTTGAGCTTCGTGTGACCCGGACGGTTGACTACTTCAGTAGGTGGGATCTGTGTCCTGCTCAAGGACACTTTGACAGCAGAGTTACAGATTAACTCACCATTCAGATGTTCTTAAAACAACTGGAGGTTGAGCACTTATCAGGTTATTTTAAGAAGGTAAAATAGTTGGTAGTCATCCAGCCAAAGATAAAAGTTTCTTTGGTGACATAGGACCTCACAGCCAACACAAATTTTCCAAATATTAAACAATTTCATGGACATTTGCATTCTTGGATAATACAATTAAAAACAAATAAAAGGTGATTTATCTCAAAGCAAAGGGAAATAAGGGATATCTTGATTGTCCCTGTTTTCCAGAAGATATGAGAGCTGTATTTGATCTGAGTTTATTTTTATAAGTCAGATAAATCAGACTTTTGAGGGCCTGCAGCTATCTGCACTGTCTGGCTTTGTTTTGTGCAAGGTTATTGCCAGGCCAAGACTTCACAACCTGATTTAATGAGACCCAATGCAGCTGTTCCCAGTTTCACAGCGGTGCCATCAAGACCTAAGTGGAAACAAGCCTCGCTCTGACACCCTGGATGTTTTTGAGGATTATGCTTGCATAGGCTACTATATGTGAAAGCTGCAGTTCCATTTGGTTTCGTTGAATATACATCCCTAAAGGCGAGTGCCTTTCTCAGCCTGGATTTGAGCAAACATCCAAACATATAATTACTGCTGCATGGGAAAACCTTCTCTTTCCCTTCTTTTCCACTTGAAAATTCCCTCCTTCTTAGCTTGCTTCCTTGACGGTTGTGCCACTGATGTCAGTCATTTGATGCATCTGAAGTGAAGCATCTCAAACCCATGAGTAATATCAAAGAACTGGGTTCATGCAGACAGCTTGGAGCCCTTGTGCTGCAGGACTTCAGCTCGCAGCCCAACACTTTTGGCACCTCTGGTTTTCTGGGAGCAATGAGTGTGCGCCCCCATGGTTGGCAGGGAGAAGGACCATGGATATTTTCCCAATGACTAGAGGAGCTCATGCCCTGAAATAAATGACTTACTTTATTTTAAATGACAGACCCACTTCTTTCCTAGCACACTTGCCCTTGGCAGCCCCTAAGTCACTTTGTTCACGAACAACATAGGTTCACTCATTAAAGGAGCCAGTGGGAACACTAAATGATGATTTCACTTGGATTCCGGGAAACGTGTGCTTCCCAGGAGTCAAAGCTACTATTGGTCTTTGATCAAAAATATGTTTCCGTAGATGCACCGAACTGGGTGGCTCGGGTTTAAGCATAGGTTGAGGTTGTGATTTTCTGCAAAAACTATGATTTATGGTGAGCTGTAGAGGTGCAGCTAGGCAGATTTTGTTACATGTAGACGAAGTCAGGCTAGCTATTTCCAGCTGTTTCCAGTCTTTGTGTTAAGCTAAGCTAACAGGCTGTTGTCTGTAGCTTCATACCATACAGATGTGATGACATTCGTATCAATCTTCACGCCTAGCTCTTGGCAAAAATCCAGTAGGCGTATATCCCAAAATGTGAAACTATTCCTTTAACAGACAATATATTTGAAGAAAAAAAAAAAAATATTTTGATAAAGGAAAATAAGGTCGATCAATCCGATGCCTTTAGAAAAGATGTTGATTTACGCTGGAAACTGGCAACATTTTCTCGGTTTCTGGCTGTTTTCTTCATGTTTTAGGAGAAATATGGTTTCTGACCTTTCATATTTTCTAAACGCTGTTAATCTGATTCAGACATGTTTGTGTGCGGGTTTCTTAAAATACCTCAGATTCTACGTTTATCTTTCCCCCGCTTTCCGGGACTTATTTGTGTCTGTCCGGCCTCTCTATGTTATCACATTTTCATACAGTCACATTAGCAGACGATATGAAAAATGGATTTGAGGAAAGAATGAGGAGGAAATGGAGTTGGTATACAGTGGAGAAAGTCAGTGAGTAGAATATTGTCTATATTAGCCCCGCTTTGGACAGGCTGGTATTTCACACCACTGTGACTGAAGGGGGAACATCGCTCACCGAGCAGTTATCCTTTTAAACTTGTATTTGAATAAGAGGCTTCCCTATCTGCCCTCAGCTATCTGTGTGTCTCTCCGTGCTGTTAAAACTGACAGTGTGGTGCTGAGCTCCACATCAGTACCTCCAAGATCAATACATATCAACACCAAACTATCTGAGCTTTAACTCATTCAGCAACGATGAGCTCATCCTTGGTGCCAATCCAAACCGTTCACCTTGTGACACTTTTTCTTAAAAACCATTTGTGAAAGTAAACTTTTCTTGTTGTGCATTCAGTTAATTGCAGCCAGTTTGCTTGAGCTTATTCATCCTTTAAAATGCTTGCTGGTTGCTAAATACTCGCCTCAGCAGAAAATGCTGGTTTACTGTGTCACACATTGACATCCTCTGGCAAAGCTGTATGAACCACCCTGGAACGTGCTCTGGGCTTGAAACCAGCTACCAGTGCCAGACCCATATAGACAGTCTTTGGTGTGTGCCACGTGGACTATTCCAAGAGCCTCAACCCAAATATCTCTGCCACAGAGCTACGAGAGCAAGGTTTTGACTTCCCCATTTTCCCTAATAGCGCATTTTTTTCCTGGCCTCACCATCATTTACTTAACCCCTTCACTACCTGGTTTCCGCGCTGTGAGACGGATGGGTCTATTGCAAAAACCACAGATAAAATCTTTTCTATGCTTTAAAACCATAAGATTCTGCAAACATAATTGTACATTATCACAAAGCCTTCTGCTGAGGTAATGTGAATTTTCTAATTTTATTTTACTGTGATGGGAATTTGAGCAATTGGACTCATATTGACGGAAATTGGCAGTTCATATTTTATCATCTCGTGCAAGCTAAGGTTCTGGTCCATCCCACTTATGAAAAAAAATATATAAGTATTAATGATATTTAAATTAACCACATAACCTGTGAAGTTTCTTCACTTTCATAAAATAAAATACATCTCACAGTGGAGCATTTTCATTGTATGTTTGCCTAATTACGCAGTATATGCTGATGGTAGATAACCAACAGGTTCTTCACTATGTAAATTTTGATGTTTGTAACATTTGTGTCAACAAGATGAAGATTGTCACTGAAAGCAGTAGAGTTGTTTGGAATCAGACTTAAATGATGAATCTGGTTCCATATTTTTCTATATGGTCAACAAGTTCTATGAAAAGATCAAAACCAACCATGAATTTGAGAAAAAAGTGCCGTTTGTGAATTCAAAACCTCATATAAGTTACTCCACTGTGCCATCGTTGTCCAAAACCACACCTGCACTGGCTGACATGTTCCTTAATTACCATGAACATGGCCACTGTAGTGTATTTAAACTCAACCCTACAAAAACTGTAATGTTGTTGTGAATACTCACCAAAGCACCAAATGTGTTTAATACGAAAAATCCCCCAAAAACGGACCATTTACTCCTGTTTGCGTAGTATTTGTTAAAAACTATGGTGCCCAAAGATATAAATGAACACTAGCCTTATCCTTTAAAATGTATTTTAACTAGTATTTCATACTGTATGAGTAATGTTGATTAAATGGCATTATTTTAACTGTGTGACAGTAATAATAATAATAGGATGCCTGTCAATTTGCTTGTATATAATCAACAGAATGGTGTACAAGTGATTTATTTATGAAACAGAACAATCTTACACTAATGTTTGTAGAAAATGTATATCTAACAACACAAGTATACAAAAAAAATTTACATTTTGTGCATTGCAAACTCTCAACAAAATGAACAAGATGGAAACCAAAAATGAAAGAACACGAATGCTATACAGACTAATGACAACAAGGTTGTACACTAACATGTCCTCGATCCCACACTATACAGTCACACAGTCATACTTTGTTTTTGGACACCGTCATCCGGATTCCTTTTCAACCAACACTATAACGTTTCACAACATCCATAAGTGATACTTAGGACTAACATATGAATGAAAACGTAATCTGTATAAATTTTTTTCAATGTTTTTGTCTCAGATGTTGATGTGATATGTCAATTACTGCTTGGTACACTTGATTTACTAGGCCACTGCCACTTAAACTGAAGATCTATTTATCTAACTACCTTTTAAGCTGATGTTATTACCTTGATCTGGTTTCTTTTCTTTGTGTTACACATAAAAAGCGTTTCAACATCATGTAAGAAAAGGGTGGTCGCTACAGTGCCAGTAGCCCAATTTGCAACCAATCTAGGTGATGGAGATTTCTAAGCTCCTAAAGACGTAGAGTATGAGCATTGAAAAATGTTCCACATGTACCAAAGTGTTATATCACTTAGAGGACAATGACGCCCTGTCTGGACAGCTAAGAAAATAAACACAGTGGCTTTTTTTTTTAACATACACATACTACCAGAATTAACTTTCTTTGGCAGGTACTGTCACATATATAAACACAGCATGCAGTGTTTATGTATGTGATTACTTAAAAGCAGCTGATGTTTATCCTCTCCAAAGCTTTACACTACAGTTTATCTGAAAGATTTGAAAAACTAACAAGGAAGTGCATAACAACACAAAAAAATCTTGCAATACTAATGTGTTATCTTGACGTTTGTGATATTCAATTATGCGTTTTGTCAGTGTAAACAAATAAATAATTATTTACAAACTCTAGCAAAAAATGCAAACAAACAAAACAAGCAGAGCATAAATAATTTACAAAAGGAATTATAATACAGACTTAGTATAAACATCTTTGGCACTTACTAAAATGGCTTATTTAAATTGTTCACTCAAGTTCTCCGTAAAAAAAGAAAAAGAAAACACATTCAGGATGAAAATAATGAGGAGAAATAGTAATGGACTTGAGACAGCTAAATGATTATGCTTTGGTTACAGTTTATGTTTGTCAGACACTTTATGATTTTTTGAGTTTTTCGGGAAAAACAGAAGCCATGAATGAGCCAAAGATAGAGAACATCCGAGTCACTTACAAGTTGTAGAAGGTAAGAAACTGTAGGAAAGCACATACAGCATGTAAGTGGTTGTACAATGAATCCTTTAAAATGTAGACATAGGTACACTAGTTATAATTAGATAATCTGCCGAGGCTTTTTTAAAACTTGTCCACTCTCGTCAACTTTTCTTTCCCAGCTTGGGAAACGTATCAACAGGAAAACTGAAATCGGCCATGGTTTCCTCTCCAGTGGATGGATCAAGGCAAAACACAGAAAAGTATGGAAAGTCTCATTTACGTTGAAATGGATTTAGCGATGACATGATGTTTACTTTGAGAGATTCTTGTCTTTTGCCTTCTGATGTTTTTCTATCAGGCTTGATTCAGTTATCTGTGGAAAGAGTGAGAAAATAGCTTCCATTACTGCCACATTTATAATCAAAACTAGGACACTCAACGAGTTTCACACGGTCAAAGTGCCAGAGTGCAGCAACAACATGTGCACTGTGTGTGTCAAAAAAGCGTGTCTTCAATAATGTGGCTGTGATTGTGAAAAGGCTGCAGGCTTATTTTCCACTCTATAGCACTCAACAGAAGATCTGAAGTCCTTGGACCAACACACAAGGTCTTTCACAATGCATCTTGGGCATTGTACACGGGCAAGCTGACAAGCAGAAACATAGCGTGACTCTTTTTTCTTGCTCAGCCAAACAAACAACACATATCCCCTCTCATCGTTACCTTGTGAACACTGTGGGAAACTCCGGCTTATCTGGGATTTGAAAAAGATGTTGAAGGTTTAAGGCCTTTACCCAAATTATTCAAAAAGGAGAAGGTTTTCTCCTCCACTTCCACTCTTTTTTACTGTATATGTCTTACCATGTATGGACCATATTAGATGGAAGTTTTACTGTACATACATATACACAATAACACACATGCACACACTTACTGCAGTAGGCCTGGACCAAGAACATCCTACATGACTGAACACCTTAAATAATATATACTCTATACAGTTGCATTCATGTAATGTAAAATCAGGCTGCATCATACTTAACCACACTGCATTTATTTTACCCTTGCTACCTGTGACAATATTTCTATTTATATCTGCATTTATCAAAAAAACATTTTGACACATTGTTGATCACCATTTATAATTTATAAATAATTAAAACTCTATAACTGAGCCCTAAAAAACTTCTCCACATGGACAAATGTGAGTATTACAGTGAGAATCCTATTCACTATTAATACATTTTGGCATCTGACAAGTGACAGACAAACACTTCTGGTGAAAACTTTAAAGTAATGAAAGTTTTGTACTAACCTCTGCACTCATACTTGAGGTCGGAGAAGAACACCAGCTCTTGCGAGAAGACAAACAAGCCTAGCCTTCCTCCGGCAAACGTCTTGTCATAAACTGGCCCTGAGTCGGCCATGATCTGTTTACCTTCATAGACCACAACTCTGTAAAATACAAAACAGAGATTAACTTTTTGAGATGGGTTGAGATTATGATGCTTACTAATGTACACATTTGAGCAATTTCTTTTTGTAAACATTTCTTGTGCTCTGTTCTCACTAGGTTATGTCTTTCCAATCTTATCTTATCTACTAAAAGGCCATGTGCCAGAAAAAAGGCCATGTGCAGTAGAGAGACTGCCTATCAAGGAGAGAGATCCTGTTCTGCTCAACTTTATTTCTCACCTTATAAAACCAGTCTTTGGTCTGTGGATGAGATGCCACCTGTAAGCTGTGTAATCCTTCCAACCAATGTTTTTGGGGTCATGCCACAGAGTACGCACCTGTGTGTGAAATAGTGTGAAATAGTTAACAACACTTAATGCTGTTCCAGCCATTAAAACAGACCAAACAGCATTTAGTCTGCAGCCCACCTGTCCGGGAGTGTTGCCCGTGTGCCACAAAGCATTCCTGAGGTTTTCTCCGGTGCCAGTGGTCGAGTTGACGACTTTGAGTGAAACGCCAGAAATGCCAAAGGCCTTGGAAGGCTTGTCCTCCCAGTAAGTCTGTGTGATCTGCTTCCACATCACTACATAAAAACGCCCACTTGACTGGTAGCCGAACACAAAGCCTGCATAGTCATCATCTCTGTCCGTGTTCACGTACATCGTCCCACTGAAGTCCACAGCATTGAATTCATCAAAACCTGTGATGGTGTGAGAGAAAGTGGCTCTGTTCAGTCAAATGGAGTTTCAAATATTTTAAAAAGCAGCAAATTACCATGATATGGTTGTTGGGGAGTAAACAAGGGTGCTACTCACCTACTGCAATGCCTGGGTCAGAGTTGGCAGTCTGAACCAGCTCTTTGCCCTGGTGTCTGACCACCCAGTTGGGATCAATTTGAGTGGTTCCCTTAGGATCCAAGTGGACCATCTGGAACTTTCTGAAGTCTGTGACACTGATGGCATTGTTCTCCGGACACACATCAAGAATATCTGGAATATTGTCGTTGTCAAAGTCATCTTTGCAGGCATCCCCTCTTCCATCGCCTGTAGAGAAAAGACAACAAATGAATTGCTTTGACCTGATTTAAATTAGACGTGCATGATATAAACTACATTTTTTCCTATTTTTCCATAGGTTGGAAAAATCTCTATGGTAGCTAATGTGAGTGTCATAATACTCCCACTGCAGTGAGTGTTGAGGAGCTCCTCCAAGTTAATATGAAAAATGAATGGGAAAAATTTCCTCCCAGGAAACTGGCTTTAATACCTTTGCCAAGTCTACAAAGGAAAGTCAGCCATCTTTTCATGCTGTGACAACTTCCACTGATACTTGCAACTATCTGAAGCCTGAAGTCTATTAGAGCCAGACTGTAGGCCAGGAGCTCATAGTAGAAAGGACGCCAGTGGCTAATGAAGGCCACTGCGTGGAAGTAGCTAGCTGCTTTCTGTCATCATCTTTGTTATTTCACAAGGGGCTACAACGATTCTATCAAATAAACACTATCTGATGAGCTGTGAAGAAAGTGAACGCATCAGTGTCCAGGGCCTTCCTCCTTTGCAGTCTGTTTCCAGTTACAGAAAGCTGTACAAACTCCAGGTAACCCTGCTAAAATTGGGCACTGTGGATTAATCACAAGCGAAGCCTAAAGGAAATAAAAACTTCACAGCCTGGCGTGTGCCCTCCTGGGCGTCTCACTGAAGTCATGCAGAATGACATCAGCCATGCCAACCCAGTCGTTGACTCTTTCCACAGCCACCATATTTCACACCTGCCGCAGTGAAGGTAATTGCTAACTGTGAAAACATCTGGACGAAGGCATATTGAAACAAAATGTGAACATCACTGAGTAATGAGTAAAAAGTCTGAGTGCATGGAGTCCATGGGAGAGAGGCTATCTGAGCACTAATTATATTTAACTTAATGTATGCTGGCATGTGTCATAAACTGGTCATGTGAGATTAATGTTGGTAATGAACTGATGCTAATTCAATTGTAATCAATTCATTACTGCCAACAGCTGTCCAAGGTCAAGAACACATTTTTTTTCAATCTCAAATTTTAAGCCAAAAAGTCCTTTCAGTGATTAGAAATATTAAATTCCATGACAACAGGACAAGTCTTTCTGCTGAGGAAGCTCATGATACTTTCGAAAGCTCCAACAGCTGCTGCGTGGGATTATTTAACAGCTGTTTTCAAGGCCACAAATGAACATTCAATCTCAATACTGTCATACTGTATCTTTATGTAAAAATAGTGTGATTTCTATTTTCTATACAATATTTGAAAGAAAGCAACAAATAATGTTTACTTACTGTTTATATTTTGATGGAAAACCTAACTACTAATTACTTGTTCATTACAAAGTATAACATCTGTTGGTTATTCATTAACACTGCATTAGAATATGGCCAATAAAAAACTATAGATCCATGAAACCTTATATTATAATTCTACATAATGACAAAAAACTGCATTATGAAATGCTAAAATGGATCCCTAATCTTACCTTGATCAGCATAAGCCATACTATAGTACATCATCTATATTATAGAAACTTTACTTTGAGAATTTTTAAGTTAGCTTATTTTAACTCAGACAGATTTTAACTCAAACCCTAAAACCATTTATGCATTATTGCATTAAACAGTAAGGCTACCACTGGGCAAATATGCAAAACATCAACAACTGGATTCACATGATTCAAAAGCACATGGGACTTTTAAATCCTCACCGTCAGAGTCCAGCTGGTCTGCATTGGGTGTCAGTCTGCAGTTGTCCTTGTCATCAGGTATACCATCATCATCATCATCATAGTCACATGCGTCTCCTTTGCCATCCTTGTCATGGTCAGCTTGGTTGGCATTGGCCACATAGGGACAATTGTCCAGGTTGTTCTGATGGCCATCTTCATCAATGTCCTGGTTATTGTCACACTGGTCTCCAACCAGGTCATTGTCTACATCGGTCTGTTGGATAAATACAGACAGAAGTTAACAGTATTAACACTTCCTGTACCTACTGTTGTAGTGGAATGTGTCATCATACACATTGTGGTTCAGTACCTGGTCAGGGTTGTGCAGCAATGGACAGTTGTCACACTGGTCACCAACTCCATCCATGTCAGTGTCCTTCTGGTCAGTGTTGTACACATAGGGGCAGTTGTCGCTTTCATTCAGAATTTCTGAGATAAAAGGGCAGTTGATGACATATTATTGAGAATTGAAGGTATAAACATTATAATTAGCTGCCCTAGAAGGACTGATTGCAGTATTTTATGTGTTTAGACTTGGCTATTTTACCATCGCCATCAATGTCCACTGCGCAAGCATCCCCTTCTCCATTGTGGTCGGTGTCTATTTGAGCAGGGTTGTGTTCATAGGGACAGTTGTCGCAGCGGTCGCCAACTTCATCCTTGTCAAAGTCAAACTGGCGAGGATTGTAAAGGAGGGGACAGTTGTCCTGTGATGGAAAGCATATGGTTGTTAGGTAATTCCTTGTTAATGGGGAAACTGATCATGAAATAAAATGTGTCCACATGTTAAAGCTCTCATACCCTCTCATCTAGAATTCCATCGTTGTCGTCATCCTTGTCACAAGCATCTCCTTGACCGTCTTTGTCAAAGTCTTCTTGTCCAGAGTTGGGAAGGCTAGGGCAGTTATCCTGAAAAAGTAGTGGGAAGTTCATAGACACAGTAGTTTAGAATACCTGCTGGATAGTCCATCGATAGCACATCAAGGTGAAAGTGAAAAGTTCAATGCAATACCTTCTTGCAGTGATAAGTGGCGTTGGCACCACACACGAGGTTCTGATTGGGCCAGCCATCCAAGTCTGAGTCTTCTCCACAAATGAAGCCATCTCCAGCGTAACCGGTCCTACACTCACACTTGTACATGGGGTCACTGAAGTGGCTGATGTAGATGCATTCGGCATATTTGTGACAGTTGTGGGTCTTGTCCTTGCATGGATTCTCTGGCTCGCACACCTACAGAAAAAAACAGAACAGGTGGAACTGTATTATGAGATTTCCCACCGTGCACATTCAACATCAAGTGCTCTAAATGTGATCTGCCTGAAGAAGGAGAAAAATGGCCTTCTTTGCACATGTAATCAGTCTTTTTACTTCTGATGACATCTCCAAATCAAGAGTACTTAAGAGTACTTTACTCCCTGTAGGTAGGGCACTCTAAACTTAGAGCTACTGCAAATTAAAGTGAAGGGTTAAGGGAGCGATTTTGGACAAAACCAAAGTGTGGGGCACTTTTGGGCACTGTTGATTTTATAGAAATCCCACTTAATGCATCATACATCCCACTACGACCCACTGTTGCCCCTTTATTGCAGCACAAGGTATTCACAGCTGCCACTCATTACCAAAGGATGAACATATACATACAGTCTGGATGCCACTCCATGAGCTCATAAAGCCGAAACTGACAGCAAGAACAGGCCTTTGATCAAAACTGTGAAATGGAGCCCCTTAATGCCAGCAATGAGACAATTCCCTTTTTCCCAAATCAATTAGTGAAATTGGGGCATCATATCAAGCAGCTGCAGAGGCCTTGGAGAGACAAAACCCACATGGGATGTTATGCAAGTACCAAGGCATGGCAAGTTTTTCGGTTTTCCAGGGATCCTGTGAATTCAGTGATCACAAGGGAGCAAAAAGTGTGTTCCAATCAACTGATTAATATAACATATAGAAATTATATGTTTTAAAGATAGAGCCAAAGTAAAGAAAAAGCTTAATTTTGTTTGAATAAAAGTGCTGTTCCATTCAACATCTACAATAAAAATACAGTACAAAGAACTGTTTCAGTCTGCCTCTGAACTTACAATGAATTTACCAGAGATGTGTAACATATGTTTGTTGTTAAGCGTTACCCAATTCTCCTCCCTCTCCTTCTGCTTGCCGATACTGGTTCAAGGTGAGTCAAATTCATATATGGTGGCCCAGGGCCTCCCCTCCAACACTGTGTAAACACTCTCGCTGCAAGAATGAGGTTTATAAATCACCCAAGCTGCTTCTTCCATCATTCATAAATTTAGATATGACATACAAAAATCCACACAACTGCTTTTGAAAATCTGCCCGGAGCTAAAGGTCCACATTGCACATCCTTTCCTTTACCGCATTTTGTTCTCACTTCTCCAAAAGCTACTCCTGTTTGAATGGCATCCAATCAGTAGTCTGTTATTGTCACTGAATGAGAGTAACTCAACTCAACTTCAACTCACCTGTTTGTTCTTCTTGGCCGCCTCCACACCCATACCGAAAGGCTGGGTGCCCTTGTAGCGCTTCGGACAGGGCAGGCAGTGGAAACCTGGATCGGTGTTGACGCAGCGTTGCATTCCACTTACTTTGTAGCAAACATCAGACACCATGTCACACTGCAGGTGGGAAAGAAAGGCATCAGTAAAATGCAAACAAATAATTACATGAATGAAGTCTTAAATAAACATCTGGTTTATGCACATAAGAAAAACAGGAACTTTTACCTCATTAATGTCTTCACAGTGGGTACCATTTCCACGGAAACCAGCAGGGCATGGGCCACACTCCCAGGAACCATCTGGAGAGCTGTTGCAATCCACTCCACCAAAGCATGGGTTAGACAGACAGCCATCTGCAAGATGATAAGAATGGGCACAAACAAGGGAAATTGATTTAAACATTGCTGGACATATCTTTATAGTGTGTCTCAAACGATTCAACTTTAATCTGCAGTGGTTTTTATCTTAACTCCTGTTGCTTTGAGCTTAATGCAAACTGGCATGCTAACATGATAAGGATGTCATTGGTTTTGCCGTCATTTGATCAGTGATTTTGACTCAAAACCCCAAATGTCGACCTCATAGTGGCAGAAGAAGAAACATCATAGGACCACCAAAGTCAGTAGGATTCACCCTGCGGGGAGCATGAATGTCTGTACATATTTCATTGCAATCCATCCAGCAGTGGGTGAGATATTTTAGGCTGTACTGAGGCACTGGACCGACTGACAAACATTTAATTTGCTTGCATGGCTAAAAACATAATGAAGAGTGAAGGCGCTCACCAATAGGACAGTCTTTTTTGTTGCAGCTGTCATTGTCGTTGGCCTCCCCGATACACTTATTGCCGCCATGCTGAGGTTGAGGGCTGTTGCACTCACGCATCCGACTTTTGACTCCCCCTCCACATGTTGCTGAACAGGTTGCCCATGGAGACCAAGGACCCCAACCACCATCAACTAAAAAGACATAGAGAGAGCAAAACATGTTCAGTAGTTAATCTTTGACCTCTACAATCAAGCATTTTATTCCAGAAATATTTGTTGTTTCTAAATAAAAATATATCACCATTTAAAGTCAGAAATCTGAAAAGCAGCCATAGTCAGAAGCCTGGAATTTAATACTACAAGAGAAAACATATTGACCTGATTTGAGTCAACATTTCCTAAAAGACAGACAGGAGGCCAGACCAAAACACATTGGGAATGTTGCCTCGGGGGAGCCATGAGGCATGCAGGAGTCTGGTTGTTCGACACTGACGCTTTCTGTAATGGAGATGCTACTTTTGAGTGTTCCCCTCACTGGCTGAAATACTCACTGGGACATGGTTTGGCAGTGCAGCGCTGAGTCTCTCTCCCACTTCCCTCGCAGTCTTTGCCCCCAAGCTGTGGCACGGGAGCATTGCAGTGTCGTATTCTGGTGATCTGTCCTTCTCCACAGGTCACCGAGCAGGACGACCAAGGCGACCACAAACTCCACCCTCCGTCTTGGCGAACTTGGTATCAAACATCAAACATATCACCAAAACATGTCATGTATTATCCTCTAGACTTCCACTTAGTAAAATGGTTACAGACATGTGTAATTTGCAAAAGTAAAAAACAAAATAGCCACCACATTTTCTACAAGTAAACATTACGTGATGCTAGCAATGAGGGCTCACTTTTAAAGATGTTCTAAGATGCTTGTGCCAGTGTTTATGTCATTGTGGATAAACTATCCTCCAGCGGTTAGACTAATTCAGTCACTCACACAGATGCAGTGTAATGTTAGCTGCAAGCAATAACACATGCTAATCCCACAATTTATCAAACTCCCAATTCTTCAGTTTTAAATGTAGTGAAATCTCCTGACACCCTCATATATAGTACATCTAATGATCCAATTCATTAATACTATTTTAAATTTCTGCATGGCAGGCAGTGGTGAGTCATTGTACTATGGAACACCCTCTCAGCCAGTGATTTATTTGGAATTAACTTGACGGGGCACACCCTGCAACCCAACCATGCGATCCAGCTCTTCACTGGGATTCAGTCTCCCTCAGATGGATCCATTTTCAACAGATTTATGGAGGTGTGAACTTGGTCTTTTGCACTTTGGAGAATCTCATCTCATTTAACTCAGTGCTGAGTTTTTCCACAGTTTCATCATGTGCCTCCCTCCCATATGTCATTCTTCTGTTGTTTGTTTTAGATTATTAAGTAGTCGTGGCACACATACTTTGATCAGCACTAAGGCGGTTACCACTGACTGCCATATATTTTAAAGTAAACTGAGTGACAGAACAATATTAGAAGATTAGAAGATTAAAAAAATATCCTCACCACGGCTATCGCATTTGCCCAGGCTGCACTTGCGGGTCTGGATAGACGGTCCGGGGCAAGGGTTACTGGTTGCATCACAAGACCGGCCCCTTTGTTGAGTTCCTGTCCCGCAGGTGACTGTGCACTCTGTCCACTCTGACCAGGGGGACCAGCCATCCTCGCGGTCTCGAGCTGTAAGTAAAAGAACAAAGTCAACATTTTGAGAGACACTCCCACTCTACTCAATGTTAAAACATAATCATAAAAGTACTAGCAAGAGTTCACAACTGTACTGTTTTTATTCTTTAGGTCTGTTTATCACATGACTTCATCTGAAAAACCCACAGTAGCCATTCTGAGCGTCTTATATTTTGGCCAATAAATATGTGGTTCGCTCACAAAGACAAACTGGCTGCTACAGTCCTGTGGTATTAAAATTTAATATGGGTGGAATATTGTTTTTATGGCATATTGAAGCATTCATTTAAAATAGCATGCATGCATAAAACTGTGTGTGTGTGTTTATAATTGTGTTTATATGCTGGAAGGATAGGAGGTTCCGACTACTTACGCAAACACACGGGGCAGCACTCGCCGTCGACGAATGTTGGGCTGGCACAGGCCACTGGGGGGCATGTGATTTGGTGACACACAATCTTTGACTCCTGCCATTAGTGAAAATTAGAGATATATCAGAGTCATTGTCATCCACAGTGAATCTGTACATATTTCCATATGACTTGGCACTACCTGGCAGGTACATTTGGTGCAGCTGTCCACAACCCAGTCTTCCTTATCGTCAAACAGGCGGCCATCCTGCCAGCACATGTTTTTCTCTGTGGAGTTTTTCATCCTCCCAAGGGCCTCCTTCATGACTGTGTTCTCCTCTGTCTGAACATACAACAACAGACAGATTTTCAGTCAGACAGAAATGATAAGGACATGCTCATGAGAATGGTACACTGCCTCCCATTAAGCATGTGGATGTATACACCTGCTGACAAGCTGGGTCTTTTAAGAGAGCATGTGAGGTTACTTTTCACCAGATGGAAGTACGAGTAATAGCATATCCAGCTCCTGTAGAAGTACTGTTTCTCACTTAAATAGTATCCATATAGAAGTAAGATTACTTATGTTACAAACCTGTTAAGTTGAAGCCCAAACATTACTTTGTGAGAAACACAACTACCACTATACAAATCATAATAATTAAGAGTTAAGTGTAGCATCCTGTCACCAACATAATCCCACTCCAGCTTAGTGATGCATCATATCCTTTTGAGACATCTTTCTTTCAGATTGCATCATGAGGGAAAAGAAGCTCAGAGAAAACGGACCAGAAAGAAGAATGACTAATGTTTAAATGAACTGAAAAACGTACACCTATGAAAGAAAGCTACTCCATTGTATTTACAAAAATACTTGTAAAATGTTAATCCTAAAACGTGCTTCTCGTTACTGCAAATTGCAAACACTAAATGCCTTTATATCGCTAATGTTTCTAGGAAAATAGCCCATTGAAAAGTGCTGCTTAGTTATGCACTTTGTAACCTCCAACCCAATTGGAGACCAGGGGATCTCTGGCTGGGCTCCTGAACACTTGGGATCTGTCAGTCGAAAGACTACTGCCAAAGGTTTGTGTGTGTGTGTGTGTGTGTGTGTGTGTGTGTGTGTGTGTGTGTGTGTGTGTGTGTGTGTGTGTGTGTGTGTGTGTGTGTGTGTGTGTGTGTGTGTGTGTGTTTGTGTGTGTGAGTCCTCCCGTTTGGAAAAGAGAAGCAACAGTGTGCAGCACTAGAATCTAAGACACCACTCGATCTGGAAGAGCCTCAGGGACCCTTCTCATCCCAGCCGGTTTTTTTTCTCCCAAGGTTCATGCCCAGACTCTCTCTTATTGCTTGGAGGCTCCCAGAGGAAACACATGGGCTGTTTAAACACAGCCAGACATTAGACTGGACCCCATTGCTGCCAGGGGAACACTTCCTATATCCACATGTAACATGTCATAAAATCTGTCTGACTCACGCTGCCACAGATAGCAGGAGTCAAACGGGTTCAGCCATCACAGGCGACTCTATAAACAGTCCTGCGGCTACTTACTGTTTGCTTTCAAACCAATATAGGTTACCTAGTAACCTAATTCAAATCTCTGTCCTCCTGGCTGCCACACTGAGGACTGTATCATTTATTTTCCTGAAACGTCAATTTTCTCTAAAATGTTGATTTTCTTCCCTCACAAAAGGACAGATTTTGCCAATTTCACATTCATCACAGAAATTGGCCTGTAAAGTACTGCGAAACAGGCAGAACCTTGTCTGAAACAAACACCAGTAAAGATCATTTTGATTCAATCTGTCATTTTTACTACTTACCACTTTTTGCAAGCCATCAATAAGGTTACTGACAACAACACGTAGGCCTTTGAGCTCCTGGAACATGGTGCTAAGTTCCTCACAGGAGCGTTCGCACATATCTGAGCCAGTCTCATCCGTCTTCTGACCTATAATGTTTGTAGTGATAGAGGGACTCACGTCCACAATTTCTGTGCTCTCGCTCACAACATTCGCATCATCTGGAGGGGAAAAAGAGAAGAGACATCAGGGTGAATGAGCAAGTAAACACATGGATGAGCAACACAGATTGGTGATGGAAAACATTTGAGAGATATGATGATTGAAACACAAGGAGTCTGATTTCCTGTTTTCCTGTAGGCGGCCAAAAGATCACAACAACACAGTGATTACAATGTTTATTGTGTTCCCCAAAACAGATGTTCAGTCGGCAGTGTTTGAATTGAAAAATGTATCTGTTTGAAATGGTGATGGTAAATCTTTCCACCAGAGATGACAGAAGGGCTGACTGTGGCAGGACGGGCGGAGGAGATGGCATTGTGGAGCTCAGAAAGCAGAAATCTGGGTGTTCCTCATGTGATGAGAAACCACACTTTTGTCATAAATCTCCATGACCTTTTAACTCAGTGGACACTTCCAATATGAACTTAACAGACTGAAGTGACCACACAGATGGATTTACAAGGAGCCTGTTAAGCTCATGGTCTTGTCGTTACATCTGATCAGTAGCACAGGCACTGGAGATACCCTTATCTAGATGTCAGTACAATAGAATCCAAAGTGTAGAAAAACTGAGTGAGTGGCAGCATTAATCATTCATTGCTGTTTTACACTAGAAACTCTTTTGGGGTTTTTAAACTACAGGATGATTTTTGAAGGGCATAATGAGGCTAAATGTTGAGTCTTTGCACAATCTGCGAATGTGGAGCATGAAGTCCAGCCTAAAGTAACGTGTCTGCCAGCTGTGATCTTTGTACGCAGACAGACAAGCAAAAAATAAATAAATCACAGACCAGGACGGGGCATCTTTTGTGAGTTTGCATTAAAGCTAAGGCAGACAACTTTGTCATATTTGTTGAAACATTCACTATAACCTGACAGTAGTATGTGAGACAGATAATCTGTGAAAAGAAAATCTGGTTCCTCTGGCTCGTCTTAGTGCTCCTAATGAAAATGAAAAAAAACAAAGAAACCAATAAGAGCTGAGAAAGATAGTCGACTGTTGAGTCTCATTTGGAGGTAGTTAAATACTGACACTTGAAGATGGTTGATTGTTGAGTCTCTTTCCCAAAGCGTCTGTATTTGATGACCTTGGAATGAGACTCAACAATCAACTATCTTTCTTAACTCTGATTGTTTTTTTTGGGTCAGACATGGTAGATTCTTGCAAATGCCAATAGGAGCACTAGGAGGAGCCAGAGAAACCCAACTTTATTTCAGATTATCTGTTTTATGTAATACTGTCAGGATATAGTGAAAGTTTCTGCAAATACGACAAAAAAAATTATCTACTGCAGCTTTAAACCATATGAAATTATGAGAATCTATTATTTGAATTTCCTCACTCTACCTCTCAATTTATTCCGTATTCAGTTTGTATCTGAAGCCACTGAACTTTAGTTAAAGTCATGATGTGAGATTCCGAAAACAAACACACAAGACACATATCAAAACTCCATGCAATGCCTGTCACTCAGCCAAAGCATAGTGCGTATCTGCAACTGGTTTGGATCTTGCTATGTAAATTGGTGAAGATTAATGGCAGGCCGGGGACTCTAAATCAAGAAGTCGGCCAAATTGCCCAACGATGTCCCACTGTAGCCAGTGCAATGTTTTCTTTCCTTTTCAGTCTGCTGGATTCATTCAAATCTCAGGAGGGCTTCACGCTGTGCGTGCGTGTGAACGCGTGCTAGCTCGTCTGTGAAAGCATTTACACATTCTTCTCTCGCTGATAGACAGGCTCTATTTTCTCAAAGCAGATATAGGAAAGAATTAAAAAAGACCAAAAAGCTTGGGTAGTTTTAACACTGCTCATTAATGTCCAACATGACAGGGTTTATGAGTGACTTTTGGCATTAAGACTGCTACCAGTGCAGAACTTTGACTGGTACCAGCCAGCATGCAGAAAACTTCCAGGCCTTGGTGACATTTGTTAAACAAATAAACTCATTCAGCTGGAATTCAACACTGCTTGTGGCAACAGAAAAGCAGCAACTTCTCTATCACGCACAAATACACACATTGCATATGGATTTGCTTTGTCACTGTGAATCAGAGACACAGTTTCCAGATCTGGTGACCCTTTAACTTTTGTGGTAACGGATGATTATCTACATATTTCCTCAGATATCTGTGTCTTTTTAGTTGCAGCCGCTCTTCGTGTGAGCCCCTCTGAGGATCACGAGGTACTATTCCTCATGTGAGCGAAGCTTCAGCTGAGAAAAGCAACCCAATCAGCCAATTCATGACTTCATTGTGTGTGTGCGTGTGTGTGTGTTTGTGTGTGCAGCTGGAAGTGGAAGCTCCCCTCTCTGCAGTATAGCATTCACTTTCTCTTTTCTATTTTCTTTCCCAGGGCATTATCCCGAGTCCACTGCCAATGGAAATAAATGTAAGCATCTGTATCTCCTTTTGCTCACCACGCACACAGCTCGACCTCAAGCAACTGCATCGACACGGCTGTTTCCGTAAACATGAAGTAATAGTGGGAGATCTTGCCACATATCAAATCTGCAAGCTTTCTGACCCACTTAAAAAAAAAAAGGACCAAAAGATTTAAATTCATACAAAGGGAGTCAACTGAGAAAGGGAGTCTGTTTGGTCTGGAAAGTTGCTGTGGTTGATACTTAACAAAACACAGATACCACACTTGGAAGATTGCATGTGAAAGAGTTTCTCAATCACATCTGCAAGGTATCGGGCTTGAAATAGTTCGCAAATGTAATTATTTTGACTCATCCTTTGGCTTATGAAAATCATACAAATAGAAATGGCTCCCACTGATACAGTACAGTTGGAACTTTAGGGTAAATGCTGGTTTAAACACCTTTAAACAAAAAGAAATTCACTCTTACCTGTTTTAGCAAACTCGCAGTCTCTGCTCAGCAGGATGTCTTCCACTGGGGTCTCAAAGATGAAACGCACATTCTGCAGAAGACCCTGTTTGGTAAGAAATGTAAGATCTTTCTTGATTACTGTGCTTGCACATTTTTGGATACTTTGTTATATCTAAAAAGCGATGTAATGTACATTTTATATACTCACTCCTATTCAAGCATGCATTCACAACACATTCACACTCGAGCATGGAAGTTCACTCTTGACCTTGTCACAAGCATTCACACTCATATTTACACACAAGGGGCAATTTAGAGTCTAAATATAGAGTCCTTTCCACACAGAAAGACCAGGGCAACACTGAACTACTCTGCCACACTATAAAGAGGGAGTATGTTAGTCTCCTGGAAACTTAGTTAAGACCGCAATTTTGTTTCGTATGAGAGATGACAAAATACTGCAGGGCCATTTAACACTCACAAAAAAGTCACAAGTAGAAAGGAAACTAAAGCTTCCATATCCTGGGAAATCCTAGTCTAGCTACTAACTAGCTACTATCTAAGAGCCATAGTCTCCATCTTACCCTGAAATGATTCTCCCGGATGGATCCCTTTGCAACATACATGCGGCTTCCTTCAGCCTGCAGGTGCTCATAGAAAGGCTCATCCAGGATGAAGCTGTCTATCAGGCTGCAGCCCACAAACAGGTTTGCATTTTCCCCATGAACATGAAGTGTGATATTCTTCCACTGTGAGTCAGACAGGTCCACATCCTCGAATGAAACCACGTTCTGGGAGCCGTCCACCCAGTATACCAGGTCCAGAGAGTTGGCCCGTCCGTTGGACACAATCTCAAACTGCCGCTGGCCATCAGGACCCTCCAAACCAATCAGGGTGCCCCGTGAGGCGCGGTCCTGGCGTATGTTGGCCACAAACACAAAGCCCTCATTGTTTTGGATCTGTCGTAGTATTTGTTTTAGTATGGGGGGGCTCACAGGGGGCAGGTGGTCGAAGCGGATGAAGCGGTAAGCAGGGGCATCCGAGTTTTGGCCCCGGAACTGTTTGGCCCCCAGAGTTTTGCGTGTGATGTGGCTGATTTCAAACAAGTCAAATGATGTCTCATCCTCCTGCTCACCATCTACAAATCAGACAAGATGAAATGCAAATGGTTGGTTAGCTATTTTAAAAACAAAGGAACAAATGGCAAACATTTTTAGAGGGTTTTAGTCTTCACTTCACTGGAATGGATGATTGCATCTCAGGTAGCATTAAGTTAGTTTCAACAGTGTATAGATACAAATCATCATCATTATAATAATACCTATTATTGAACTTGACTCAAATCATCATCATCATATCATTATTAGTCAGTATTACAGTGACTTCCACTTACCTTGAGGTAACGCGTGGAGGACATTAAATGATAAGAGCAGCAAGAAGAGACTTCTCCTGAGTATCATATCTCCTTCAAAAAACAACAGAAATGCTTTTTATTAGTTTTTATGTCGCTATCTTATGTCTTTTTTCATACACCCTGGGTCCATCTCGAGTGTTGAGTTTGCACTTGAGCCTCTAAATTACCCAGAGCAAAATTTAAAAAAAAACGACCAAAAAACCCAATAAGGCGATATAATAACTCAACATTATACGATACAATAATTGTGGTTTAACAGCTATAATAAACACTTTACAGCATCACATTTGCAGCTTATTGACTGTTCATGACTAAAATCGCCACCAGCTTTTCTGGTTTATCTTTTAGCGTTTTCAGTCAACAGGTAATGAATCACTTGAATGACTTTGTCTCATGCCTTAAACTCTCCACACAGAGAAGTTCAAGGACAAATAAACTTACCTGACGAATGCAGTTTTTAAAAACTCAGTCAGATATCCGACAATAAAAAAATTAAAAAAGTTGTAATCGGGGTGGAAAAGGAACTTATTTGATGAATTGAGCCGGTGATTTAAGGAATTAGAAGTGGTATCTCCTGTAAACGTCGTGCGTAAAAACCGTAAAGTCCACTTTGGTGCACTACATCCACAGGCTGGAGGACTTCAGGCGCAACAGTGACTGAGGCACTCGCCTCCCTCCTCTTTATATAGAGGCTCGCAGAGTGCCTGTCAATCAAAACTCTTTTGGGTACGAACAGTTTGAGGTCGGTTGTTAAGAGACAGAGTTACATAATTATCTTCCGATGGCGTAATGTTTCTTATCCGTGCTCACACGCAGAAGAGGCTGGTATTGGGTGGGGGGGGGGTGTTGAGACCCCTCCCCTTCTGTCTCGCACTGTGATGCCCACCATCCCCTCCCTATCAAACCCACCATCCCTCTGTGTCTGGAGATAATTCTCATTTACTGGGGAAGAGAGATGGAGGGAAGTGGGCTGATTTACTTTGGTGGGACAAAGTTATGGCGATAAAAGAAACCAAAACCATGTTGCAGTGGGTACACTTAATAAATGTGTTGCTACACAATTTACAAAATTATGATAAAGTCAGAGATTTGTGGGGTAGAGGACAGCTTTGACGTCTTCTTTCCTGAATATTATAGGAATCTTTTTAAAAAAGCAACCACTCTACACAATGGTAAAGATTTGGAATATGTGGGTAACTGCATTTTCCCTTAACTAGTGTTATAATTCAAAACTTGCAAAATATCAATAACTCAAAGTGAGAATCCCAGCTATGTCTGCAATGTGAGACAAAAAAAGAACATGAAAATGCCCTCTAATACAATAGATACTTTGGATGCTTCCACTTTGCTGGCAAGCAGTGGCTGTGCGTCTGGAGATGGTCAGGATTTTGCCAAGGCTTCCCTCTGTGGTGTCAGGGAAAGAAAAGCTGATACAACGTCTCATTCTTGGAGCCCTGTAGAGGGATCGTAGGGCTGGATGTGGGTAGGCCTTTGTGTACCAATCATAGGATACGTCTCAGGGATGGTTTGCGTCAATTGGAAATGTGCATTCCATTTAGAAGGAAAAAAAGGGGGCGAAGAACAGACAGTTTCTTACCAAATGGAGAGATTGCCTTTCAACAACATGGATTCAAACTTGACAGAAATTAGAAACAGTAGTGAACGGTTAGTCAGACATAGAAGAATATGACGATGGTCGCTGATGATAAAAGCATTTTGCAGTGACCAGAGAACATCAGATTAAAACTGTCAGGGCTAGAAAAGTTGAAATACACCACAGACTTGCACTCATTAAACGTGGTAGTGCAACTGTCAGTTGTAGTTTCTCAAGATGGGTTTTAATAAGTTTGAATATGTTCTTTTCAAGTCATTAATCCTAAAAGTTATAATGGCAGTTGTGGAAGAAAAAGGTCTTCAGTGGCTGTTTTAGTATAAAGTTGGATCTGACTGCAACCTCAAATTATAAATTACACTTTTAAAACTACTTGTTCAATTGTAGACTTTTTTATGCTATAACCATTACTCTAAGAATGTAATTACTGTCGTCAAGGCGGGTCCACTAATGCCTTTCATTTCTAAAATCTGCATTTACTCATTTTTAACTATATGACAAACAGCAGGACTGAGTAATGAGGCTTTAACAGAGGAGTGGAAAATATTTCAGATAAAAAGTAAACTTTGGCATCCTCAACATCACTTTTAAAAAGTGCAGAGCTACTGCAGAGCAAATGTAGGCAGTGGAGGTGAAACTCTAATGTGGTTTTATCCGTGCAAAGTCATGTAATATTTATAAATGAGAAGAGAAGAATAGAAGGTAGCAACAAATCCATGTCAGACTTGTTTATACCAAACTGTGCCATAAAAAGAGTCAAGAACACACTGCTCTAATAGCTTGCTCAGAACGCAGTTTGCACAGTTCAAGTTCCCGTCACTTTTAAGATATTTTTTAAAACTTTCTGGGTCATTTAGATCACACCCCGATCCAAAGCTTACCTAGTACTGCGGAGCAGAGATCCACACATAAACGTGGATTCCTCCATTAATGCTACAAACACCAGAGATCTGGAAGAGCCTTGAAATAAAGGTGATGGATGTCAGTTAGGTTGATAAACAACTATAGTTTCCAGTTCTCTTCTCCAAGCTGTGACTTCACCATGGAGGTTTATGTGTTTTTAACAGAATACTGGTTCAGTGTGACTCAGGAGCACGATCCAAAAAGGAAATCTGGCACCTGAAATGTTTAAAGTACTGAGAACTGGAGAGAGTGACACATGTAACATGCAAATCTCACATCATCTGTAAAATACAATAGTTTTGGGAATGATGAAAATAAAGAGTTTAGGTAGAAATGGTCTTTTTAATTAAGATTTACTTCAAATAGCCCCTTTAAGTTGATCATGCCAAAAGCTGAGTAATGCCAATGAAACAGATTTGGCCAGAATGGCTGGCATTGTAAAATATCCTTGCATAATCTCCCAAATGCAATGACGGCTCTGTTAGCATGACAATTGCACTATAATGTACAGTAAGTATTTAAATATCTGGAGAGAAGCACCATTTTCTTTGAATATTACTGTCCTCACCACTGATTTGCACTTTACTTACTACAGTAGTTACTGGTGTTAGTTTGCTTGTGGTTATGGCAGTGGCATCAAATGAACCTTTATTGCTCCAAAGCCAATGTGGCTGTTCCCATTCCCATTAGCCTACTACTGGAGGTGATTTTAAACATTATTATTGGAGCCTCCAGTTTGTCATTGTTTCTTTCAAATGTTTAGACTTCTGTGCGCCCAATGACCAGCAGTCTTGTCAAAACAAGTAAATCAAACTTTCATACAGCAACTTATACGTTAATATGTGTGTATTAAGGGGAAAGTGAGGATTCTGCTGAGAGCGCTTTGTACACACACACACCCACACACACACACACACACAACATTTCACATTTGCCTTTAAGTTGCTATACCGTAAACTGAATGAGTTTAAGCTCCCTAAAACAGCAGATCCTTTTTCCCGACAAATCTATAAATCTAACCATTTGGTGAAAGATGCTTGACGTAAGTGTCTCTGACTGAAACATAGTTCAACTTAAAGTTAGTTAGTGTTTAGCTATGGTAGTTTTAAGCCACACTAGCCCTGTGGCTTTCGGGTGGAAGTGTTGGTTCATCGGTCCATCACCATTGGTCCAGACTGAAATATCTGACTTTCCTCTAGTGCCAGCCTGAAGTTGACAACTGGGGTTTTAAGTGAAATGTCTCGACAACTATTGAATGTGTTGTCATGAACTTTGGTTCAAGCATTGATGTTCCCCTCAGAGTGAACTCGCTTAATCTAGTGCCAATATCAAGTCAAAATAACTTGTTAAATACTTTGGTTTATCATGCAACAATACCTGCAAAACTGTGGCATTCCCATCAGCCTCAGCTCTACTTTGTGTTTAGTGCTAATTAGCAAATGTTAGCATGCTAATCATTATGCATTAGCACTGTCATTGTGAGCATGTTAGCATGCTGACATAAGTGTTGAGCTAAAAGCACCAATGTCCTTTAAATACAGCCCATAGAGCTGGCTGCAAACAATTGTCCAATTGTTCAGTGATGCTGTCTAAAAAAAGAAAGATTGGAGATTCAGATGTTTTTTTGGAGTTACAGACGTTTTCTTCAAGAGTCCTCAAAATAGTAATTTGCTATGTCAGAATAACATAATGTTTCCCTCGCCAAACACTGGTCAGTCAAATTTTACCGTCACTGACTTCATTTGTTTTGGTCTCTTCCCCCAATTTAAACACTTGTGTGCTGTAGCTTATTTACTTTATGCAAACAAAAAGACAAAATGCATTTTCCTACCATGCGTGTTAACTTGACCTGATGACACAGTTTGTTGTTTATAGCTGATGTATGGAGCCACATCAGTACAACTACCAATCAAAGCCTCTGGGCTGCAGAAAGCTATGGAAAACTGGTAGAGTTTTATAAAGTTTGCATTTTGGCTCATGTGATGTCATTTCTGAACACTTCAGTCTCTGATGTTCTTGTCACATGATGACAAAAAAAGTCCGGATCTTATTTTGAATACAGGACCTGTGAGTCACTCGACAGGCCTTTTTTTTTTTTTTACAGAACAGAGCTCCATGGATTGTTTTCATGGGTTTTGAGAGGCAATTGAGAAGTCAATGAGGGAAAACTGAGGAAAACATTCAAGCTGATCTGTACACACCATTTATCATTAAACCGCAACACTGCAGGACTGTTTGACTCTTTGGCTTTGGAAGGAGATTCTAACCATGTATTGACGCAATAATGATGTCCACTAGTCGTCCTACACTTTCAACAAGAAGGTAACCTTTACTACCTTTACGGTGCTCTGGAGCACCAGCATCAGAAATGTGTGCATTATAACACTACAAGATCTACACTGTAGGTGTAACCTGGTAATATATTGTCCACAGAATCTAGCGTGTAACAACCTAGAAGAAGAACTTGAAAAAAAGTGCTTGTTTCCAGGGCACCATATGTTTGCTTTCAAAGCATCTAATTTGAGTTTTCATATAAAAATGGCTCACATACCTTGGCTTAGACCAGGCATTACATCCAAGTGAGATAACCAATGTTTGACTTGTACTCCTCTCAAAGGTTTATATGTGACCTATGTGGGTGGGATTTGTTGATACATGATTTCTAAATTCAACACAACTGAATATTTCCTGGGTGATATTATGCTTGGGATCATAACAGCATTACAGGAACACCTCCATGTTATTGTCACAAAAAGTACAAAATCAGATGATGCTGCTCAAAATGTAAATTTGCCAAACCTTTGTTTGTGGGCTTAGCCAATATCCTGAGCGGAAGGGTGAACAGAGGGAATCTTGTTTACTTCCTTTGTTGCCTGCAGGCCTGTTGGAGGATGGCAGGCTTTGAGAAACCCATTAATTGCCTGCTGGTTGCTCATGTTTAGCGAGGGTCAAACACTGCCAGCTTTATGCAAGGCTGCTTGTCATTGTGATGTAATCAGGCCTCTGTCAATCCAGTGGGCTAAGACCTTTTCCCAGATGTGTATCTGAACTGTTGGCTTGAACACAAGCAAAATGTCCCTGAAATGCAAGGTTGAGTTCTGAACTTAAATAAATATGAGATAGTGTATAAAATAAAAGAAAGTGCAAGTGTTTCCTGAAATTTACTTTGACTCATACTTACCTACATTTAGGTTAATGGGTGGGGGAAATTACACTTCCACTCTCTTTTCTCACAATTGCATTTTCATTT